GCCTTCCCTCTAGTTTTACACTGCTAAATTAGGGACGGCTAGCGCAGATAGCCCTCGTGTAGCTTTGCGCGAAATTCAAAACAAACAAACAAACATTTTTCAGAATTAGTGGTGCATACTGGAGGGATTTAGATTCTGGCAGTAAAGTTAAAAAACACCTTTACTCTCTACAAACTACTACTACTACTACTACTACTAATAATAATAATAATAATAATAATAATAATAATAATAATATAAAATAACCTCATCTAACTTTTCGCCACGTATGCGTCATCAGGTCTAGTAGTAAAATTTTGTGTTAGTACCCCTGATGACGCTGAAATGGCGAAACATTATTGGTTGAAATATTGTTTATTAGTAGTATTTGGAGAGTAAAGTTCTGTTTTATTTCTAACCCTATTGCCAAAGCTCGTGCCAGTTTGTAATTAAATCATACACCCCCCTCCCATAAAGTTTGCCACTGAAAACATATTGGAGATATTTTCTTCAAATCTAAAATTACCTTAGTTTAAATTGACAACCATTTTAGTACAAACTATAGTAAAGAACAAGCGTAATAGTACACCAATTCAAGTTTATTACCCCCCCCCCAATTATGATAATTTTTAGTGTGATAAAATTATTTCCTGTTCACTGCTGAAACGTTGTTTTTGAATGCCCGATAAAAGTAACAATATATTTTTTCTTCATTTTCTGTAATTGATGAATATGATTGGTGTTTTAGATTTTTTTTTATTTCTCTATCAAACACACAACTAAGTGGATGTTGATAAGAATTGTAAGTATTCTACTTGTCTAGAGATAAGTCTTGAAAACTTGCCTAATGTAAGAAATTTACATTTCCCTTGTTTTAACGCATCCACTTACCAGTATACCTTTACTTAGATATCTTCTGAATCTATATAAAAAAAACAAAAAAACTTCGATAAATCGTTTGTGTTTGTTGTTGGGGGGGGGGCGTCGTCCAGATATAAAAACGCCATTGTATTTAAAGGATTATTCTTATTTCTTTATGAATTTATGTAATTTTTATTTCTTCATTAATTCGTATTTGAATTTTCAATTTATCGTCTTTTAAGATTTATTTTTGTGCACAGAGGAAGATGATTGGCAAAACTAAAACAGTTTATCCAGTCAAGTGGCCTGCTTAGTTACCAGTAAATGTGACTTTGTACTTTGGTTAACTTTTCCACATGCGCTCTTCAGTTAGGATAGTTCAACCAACAAATACGATTAAAATACAGTCAATTTTTATTTGATTTAAAAAGCTTAATATTGCTGTAAACGGGCACATTTGAACGAAAGTAGTTGGTGTCCAAACGTATGAATATTGAAGAGGAAAGTAGTTAGTAGGCTGTTTTTATCATTTTTCGATATGTAAGAGTAGTTGTATTGTGATAAGCACTATAGTAACCTAAACAATAACTAATTATCACATTTCTTTTAGGCCTGACAAAAGTAGTTAAAATCACGCTTGATTGTCGATGATGTCACTGTCTTCTTAATTAGTCCATTATATATGGTTCTTCAAATCGGAGATGTGAATTTAACGGAACTCTTTGTTCGCCACAAGTCGCTCTCATTCAGGCCTTTCAACCATTAGCAGAACTCGTCAGCTGAGCTGGATTACACTTGCCAAAAGTAATGCTGTAGCCATTGCAAATATTCGGGTTGGCAGGTATCTCTGTATTCTGAGAAACATGTTCATAGCAAGAGAACGAGGCTCGAACCCCAAAGAAAGGTACTTCAATTTTGAATCACCCTAGAAAGGGGAGCCTCTCAGCATCGCAGTATTGCATGGAGTCTCAAAGGGTCTAAATCCAGACTTGCCGTGGAGTTGTAACTTACCCATAAACTAGGAGAAGATTTAATAGATTCTGGAAGTAATTTAAAAAAAACAACTGACATAACAGTATAAATAGTAAAATAATTTTCTTATTTTTAAAGGATTTTGTTAAATATTATACACCTATGCTGCTTCGTGTATAGACTTCTTTTTCTGTACTGTTCCGAGTATCCTTGTTGGATAAGTGGTAATCTTAAGGGCTGATATAGCCGGTTATGTATTAAAAATATAAACTACTTCAATGAGAACTTGCAGGGAATTAATAAGTTTAGTTCTTTATTTACACAGATTTTAAGAGATAAGGGATTTCATAATCAGGGCTTCATAATTTTGAAACTCAGTCAGACATTAATCCAAATTTTGATTTCTTAAACGGTATCAGTAATATAAAGGTTTTTTTAATCAAGTTTGCAGAAAAGTATTTTTCAACCTAATTTAAATCGGGAGTAAAAAGCACATTTGACTTTAATCACAACCTTGTCTCTGCTACTAATATTTACTATCAATCATTAATGTACATCTGGTGGAATATATTGACATTCCTCTTGCAAAGTAGTTACAGATGCAAACTTTTAGAATTTGTTCATCTCTGAAAGCGTTCCAAAGTAATTAAGTTCGGGTTATGTTTTTCTGGCCTGGCCATCTTCTGGTTGCTACTTGTATTAAAACTACTGTTAGGCAACACCTGTGGTAGTTAGTGCTGCATTGTCCAGAATCTTACAATACAATAAATCAATAATGTCTCCTTTAGTTGTTACAAGTGAACCAAATCCAAACAAGCTAAAACAAACTAACACTATGATCCCACCTGACCAATCGTAAATATTCGAAACGACTGCCATACCTAAAACAGCAGCAAGAACCATCGCTCAACATAACTAACTCTGTTGATGTTCACCGAAATGTCCACGTTTAATGTATCACAAAAACCGGCGCTTTGCAGTTATGGCTATATAGAGCAACCGAGGAGTTGTGGCGTCTCTGTATCTTCATTTCATACGTTTCACAGTTCGTATGGACCAACGAGTGATTAAATTTGGACGGCCTGCAAGATGTTCAATGGCATCCTTCCTTTTGTTGTTAATTATTTTCTGTAGGACTGATAAGTTTGATGCTCTTACTACTAGTGCTTTATCAAATGACCACTTCTCTTGGAAGGTCCGGCTCCTCATGACTGACTGGCTATTTTTTCTAAGTGCTTACCTTATTCCATAACTTATACATGGTAGTGCACCGTAAAATTCACTGGGGGTGAGTCATTTAAGCTAGGATGTGCAGTGCTAGTACTTCTCCTTATAAAGTGCGAGTATTATCTGTACTATGTCACATTTTGTAACTGATGGGTATAGTATACAGTTACGATATTTGTTAGGAAGTGGGAACTTTTCCGGTTTAACACATGAAACTAGCAAAGGGTCGATATAATCCGAATTAACATGAGAAATTGTATTTGGTGATTTTTAGCCGAATAGTGAAGACATACAGGACACTTACAGTCGTTAAATATCTGTAAAGTTCAGGCACGTGCGGCACCCGAGTGTATTTAACGTACCAAGACGTGCACTAGTGTTAAATGCTCACTAGAGATACTACGCATAATTCCAACTTGTCTGCATTTTTTTTATAATGTTATAGACCAAGAAAGTATTTACCTTCTCCACACATATGTACGTCATTCGAATACGGCACATTCTCTGATCAACCGCACGGTCTTACCTATGATGAGCATTGCGACATAGTATTTTTTTCCCTCTTAATCTTGCGTGAGAAGCTTTAATAAACTCCAGAAGAATAGCTGTTATCGTCAGTAGCCAGTTCTACTGATAAGTAATAGTCATTCAACTCCTAGTCTTTCCTTCGACAATATCGCGATTTATATCTGTTTTCGAGTAAATACAACTCTGAGCAAGACCGGCCGAAGCAAGAACATTCCTTCTAACCACTGACGTACTGTGTGTGTCTTATCTGATTGGTTGCCGATTTTCTGAATAATAAGACTTAGTTTGCCAGTGAACATTTGACTTGTTTCATTCGAAAAGAATGAATTCAAGTGACTCCTTTTTGTGGTATTTGTTATCGAATGTATTAGAGGATAAAGCGTACAACATTGTTAGGGGGGGGGGTAAATTTGCTTCCCTGCCTTATACAGGACGGGACATGTCCCTATACCATTAACCGAAAACATAGCTACAAACTCTCAAGGCTTACTGAATTATCTCGTAGCTGCCATGTAAGCAGGTTTGGGCGTGGCATTAGGTT